TGACCCTAGCCTGATGGGACCAGCCGATTGACCATGGGGGGCCACCAGTCTACAGGAATTCAAGGCCAAAGTGGTGTGTTGCAGTGCCCCAGACACCACTCAACCACCATGATCCTCTCCTGCCCTTCACGGGTAGCCACACACACAGCAAACATGTGGGTAAATGTTTAGATCCCAGAGGAGGTAACTGCAAATACAGAACCCTCCCTGGAAGGTCCCCTCATCACATACAGGAATCCACCCCAAGGTGATTAACTGTAAAAGAGAACTATTAACAAAACCTGAAAGAGAGGATGTGACAGGTGGGTGTGGTAGGAGGGGTAAAATTTTATATTTGATAGCTCTTTAACCAAACAAAATTAAAGGCTCTGAAAATTATGGTTTGTCTGAGCAATGACAACTTTATAGTGAGTAATTTGTGTTTAATTTCGTAGTTTCTGGGGTGGGGGTAGATAAAATAGAAATGAAAATATACCTAGGGAAAATGTGTCATGTATGTCATACTAGGGGAAATTCAGAATTTTTTCAAATATTGTCTTATAAAATTCTTGAATCAGTTACACAATTATTGGACTAGTCAACTAGACTGGATATGTAAAAATGGCCAATCACAGATTACTGTTTTGTTTTGGACCAGTGACTGAACTTTCGTATGCTTTGTGTTCAAAGATAATCAAACACACACACATATACATAAAAATATTACACTGATCTTAACAAAACTCACCACAAGCAAGATGTGATGTAACATAACAGTTTTTCTTACGATGTTAAAAAACGAATCACACAAGGAGAAAAAGTTGCATTAAAAAAACAAAAATTTTAAAAGTGTGACTCATTCATTTTTAGCAGTAAACCCTTTTCTCACAATTGGAAAAATTGGTTTTACGAACACAACAACAAACATTTCTTGCTATATAAATAAATGTTTTTCTTATATATTACTCACCTATATTTGGATCATCCCTGGAAATTTTTTCTGTCGTAGTGGATTTACTTTCTCTCTTTACTTTGTCACCAGTTTTCTTTGGTTCCTATTAAAGGAAAAAATTATATAAGACATCAAATAAATCACTCACATGTTCATGGGTGTAGAGTGATGGTTTCGTATTTATGTGGAATCTTGATTCTTTACGTCTTTAGTCATAATTTAACTGTACCTTAAAAATGGTTTATGATGAGACACAACTGGTTTATTTATGTTGGATGAACAAATCAAAAAGTTCTTAAAACAGGATGTTAGCCTTAACTTTGTATATCTTTATAATGAAACATTTCAGATAAAAAAATGAACAAGTTACGCATACACATACACACCGTACATCCTACTGCTTTGACGATGAAGTAGGAGAACTAGGCAAAACAAAGAATAATTCTTCCACACATACACACTGTACATCCTACTACTTTGATGATGAAGTAGGAGAACTAGGCAAAACAAAGAATAATTCTTCCACACATACACACTGTACATCCTACTACTTTGATGATGAAGTAGGAGAACTAGGCAAGACAAAGAATAATTCTTCCACACATACACACCATACATCCTACTGCTTTGACGATGAAGTAGGAGAACTAGGCAAGACAAAGAATAATTCTTCCTTAGGATTTTTTAATTACTTTAATCTTTCATTTTGTTTGATGTTCATATTTTTACAAACATAGATAAACAACCAGTATGTTTTAATTGGATATATCACCACTTAAAATTTTAAACTAAATATACAGACCAAGATAAGACAGAAAAAAAAAGCAGCAAAGAATTTGAAAAAATTACTTGTAACCTGCCTATTGACAACATCATTTTTATTGTTATAAACAAACAAGTTATTTGATACCTAGAATAAGATCCATAAAACCATTAATACAATAAATACAATTTTACATCAGATATATAAATGAAGCTTTGTCCAATATTAAGGTTTTTTTACCTCCAGATCAACACAGTTAAGGTAGTATATACCCTTTATATAGTGTTATCTAGGTTTGGCCTTTTTATAAGAAAAACATCTTCATACTATGCTTTTTTGTATAAAAACATATTGAAATAGGTACAAAGACATATCCTGGTACATGTGTAACATTACCATTGTGGCTAACTTGCATATTATAAAAATAAAGAAATACAAAAGAAATGTCTATGTTCCTGATAAATTCTACAAACATAACTGAATGCTACTGAAAATGGGTCCAGATTTTGATGGGATGTGAAGAATTAGCCTGAACTAAGGAAAAGTCTGAAAATTAATTCAAGGTCAAATTACAGCACAATTGAGTATGCCCTACGTTGTTGGACGTATGCTACAGCGACTTGTTAATGGTCATTTAATAAAAACCAAACCTCTTATACACTTTACCTGAATACACACTACAGATACACTAATAATGCATATTTATGACAATTGTGAAGTCTATAACATCAATAGATCTGAAGTTATGAGTTAAAACCACTATGAGAATATCAATTTTCATATTTTGAGAAAAACATTTGAAAATTTGGTGCAAAATTATCACTTTAAGGGTCTTTGTCTACTTGAAAAAGGTATACCACGTCCTGCAAATTGTGAAACTTACAACCTTAATATGTTTTTGGGTCTTAATAAGCTCCTGGAGCATAAGTTTCACCCTCCTTGTCTTTCTTGGACTCCTCAAATCCCTTTTTGGTGTTTCTTCTTATCTGTCGCTGCTTTACTCCTTCCACAAAAACTTTGCTTTGTGCTTTAGATAACCCTTTCCTTTCTGCATTAGTAAAGAATTTGTTGGTGAAACTTCTGTCCATGATGTTAAGCAGCTCGAGTATTTTCTTCCTAGACTGCATTCCATCACTGCCATCGTCATCATCAGCAGCAGCCCATCTTATATGTTTTGTACTTTACAAAGGTGTCCTTGGAACAACAATGCCATATTACATGGTTTAGGGACTCATTAGCATTCCGAGTGATACAATCTAAGCATTTTGTCAGGAACTCATCACTAGATGGGCTTGATGGCTTTCATTACACTCTGTGGAATGAAATGTTTGTGTGAATATTCCGAGCTGGTGGCTTTAGCTTTTTGGAATTTACACCAAGAATCTTCACCAGTATGGCACAAGTGATGCTGAGGTTTGATGTTGGTTGATATTTTAGGGTACCAAGTTGCCCATATTGCATTCTGCATTCCTTCCAGATCACCTTTGTTTGAGTGTATACCTTCCCCATACCAGTTCTGGAGACTAACAATAACCTTATCAGTGAGTCTGCCAGCACCTCTTATTCCCTTGCCATCACTAAGCTTTCTACCTTTCATATCTTTTTTAAGATTTCACAAAGCTTTTTCTGACCATGTCCTACACACACTTTTTTCTCTACAATTCTGTCTCCATATGGTCTTGACTCCTTCATTGTATGGAAGGATTTACTGTAGCCATTGCTGAGGCACATTGTGTATCTGAGGCCTCTTTCTTTCTCAGACCTTTGAAATATCCTCACCATACCTACTGGTTCCACTGAAGGCATAGAATCGTCATAGTTTGCTAAGCAAACTCTACAATGTTCCTCTTTCTCCTTTGCTGTCTATTTTTTCTTTGAAGAGCAGGAATGATAGTACCTACTCAGCAGTTCATAGTCTCTGACTTTCCCAGATTCACTGGAAAGAACAGTGACAACATCATGTAAGGAAGAGTAGTCCTGTTACAGATATTTCAGTAACTTTGCCATCTCTTTGCAAATCTTCAGCAACTCATTCCATGGTTTCACCAGCATTCAAGACAGATGTGAAATGCTTGTCCCAAGACTTCTGTGCACAAATTGCTTGTTAATAGAAAACGGGTTCTTTTCCTTTTTTTTACTTGTATGCCAAACTTTCTCATTATAACAGTTCATTCCTTTGCAACAAATTTTAGGGTAGCAGCAAGTCCACTTCTATTGGTAACTTTTAACCACAACTTTTCCCACATGAACAGTGGAAAAATTCATTCGTTTCTTCTAACAGAATGCCCATATCAACAAACATACTACCACTTGTGGGATCTCTTCTTTTCTTTTATTTGATGGAGTCCCTTCAGAAGTATACAAATGTTAAAATTTTCCTTAGAAGCACTTAGTACCATAGAATCTTGCTCAGAAGTTGAAGTCACAGAACTGGTAGCTGCACCACGAGTACCAACAACTTTGGCAACTCACGTGGTTCACTTGTACTGTTACTAAGCTTACCAGTGTTCTCTTCACCTAATTGCTTGTTTCTGGTGAATCTGTTACCATGAAACTTCCTCTTCTTTGATTTGTGAGGACCACGCTTTCTGTTTATCCTCAAATATTCATAATTTACCACTTTTGATGGCAAGTTAGCTAAAGAATTTAGTTAAAGCACTCTCTTTGTTCAACACATAGAGTTTGACCTTGATCACTGATTCATCAATGAAAGGTTATTAGTACAGTCCATTACTTCAAAGGGGTAGCAAAAATGCATTTTGATAAGCAGGGGGAATTACAGACAAATTGGCTAAAAGTTTTTGAAAACAAGAATAAAAGCAACAATTTTGGATCACATTGCAATGGAAATGGAATGTAAGTAAAGGCATTTAAATGGAAAACCTTTTATTTCATACTTTTTAAGGTTTTTTAGTTTAACTAAGACTTTTTTTGCACTGGACACTGAAAGTAAAAGGGTTAAGGATATAAACAAAAAATAAACTGTGATATTTTTTGACATTCAAAGGGTATAAGCTACCTTGATATAAAGTTTCAGATACAAGGTTTCAACCTACATCTGACATTTAAAGGGTATAAGCTACCTTGATATAAAGTTTCAGATACAAGGTTTCAACCTACATCTGACATTTAAAGGGTATAAGCTACCTTAATATAAACTTTCAGATACAAGGTTTCAACCTACATCTGACATTTAAAGGGTATATGCTACCTTAATATAAACTTTCCAATATAAGGTTAAAACTTACATCTGACATTTAAAGAGTATAAGTTACTTTAATATACACTTTCTGTAAAAAGGTTTCAACATACATCTGACAGTGTTTTATCTTTTAGTTATTTCAGTTCAAACTAGGTTTCAAACTAATAACAAGTAAACACACAGCACCGAACTGTAATCTGATCAAGTACCTGTAGACTTTAGCTCTTTAGCAGCATGTGTCAGAAAAAAAAGCCACACAAAGTCAATAGAATTACAAATTCAGAATTTTTAGCTGTAGTTTTACTTATAAATATGTGAAAAAAAAATCATAGAAAATTAATATTAAAAAAGTATATTTTTCTTGCCATTGAAGATTTTTAACTTTAAACTTGTCAGATAATGGAAGTTTCTGTTATCTCTGTGCTTGCTTACCTTGTACGCCCTGGTGGTAGTTTTTTTCTTTCTTTTGCCTTCCTCCTCATCTTCCTGGTCAGACACCAGTTCATCATTTTCATCAATAGAAAAATCAGAATCCACCTCATCACTTTCATCAATTTCAGAGTGATAGTCTACATCATCTTCTTCCTAGAAGGCAGTAAATTACATCATTATTCCTTCTTTTTTTTCAACTAACTGATGATAAGTTTAAATGTCACATTTTAAGATAAAATGTGTTGTTGCATATTTTCAACCTGTAATCAACACATGCTGCTCTGAGGTCATTTCTATTTTAATTACTCACCTCTACTTAATTGTAACAACGTAATTATTTCATATGTTATAATAATTTTCACTAATATGTCATCACTTGATGTTTCATATGAAAGATGCTGGTGATAATAGCTCCAAGAAAGACAATTTGTTTTTCTCATAAGAATAATACTGTCACTAGCTTTTAAACATAATGTTACCAAAATTATAAAATTATTAGTCATTCAAAGGTAACATCATTGTTTTATTTTATTATTCCTGCTATGAAACGGTTATCTGAGGTGAGGCAGGCAAATATAAGTAAAGAAATTGGGAACAGCTTCTGGAATACTTTAGTGATTGTTTCACTTCCTAAGTTGTATTCAAAATGAAGACGATGTAACAAGAAGAATAAGAAAGCAGAGACACAATTAAGAACTTACTTCTTCAAAACCTCCGTAGGTAGTGTGGTAGAAGTCATCTTTTTCTTCTTCATTTATGATACGAGACATACGGTTCCCAGCATTGGCACGTCTTTCTCTCATAGCAGCCATGTTGATTTACTCAAAATCTTAACTGGAATACATTGCAAATAGGATACTTTTGTACTTAAAAGCACATCGGAAGTACCAAAAAAAATGACCCACTTAAAATTATCAATATTTTTGTTTTAAAAGTAACAAAGCCAAACAATAAACACAGAACTAAGACTAGAAATACAACATGACGTTTTCGCTCCCTACTTAAAAAATGTATAGCCTGATAAAAAAATTGATGACAACAAATCAATCAGTTAGTTGTTACAGCCTCGTAAATTTACTTGTAATCTTTACAGTTTGTGTACTACACTTCTAGCATTGTTAATATATTTTTCCAGTAATGTAATATATTTCATGTTAACTTCTCTTCTGTGTGCATGTTTTGGTTCCTAGAGAAATAACACACATATAGGTTTTCGTTTAACTGTAAAGAAGTGCCTTGCAAACTCTGAACCTCCTTCCTTTTGTTAGATGTTAGTGAGGCACCATCAAGTTTACTTTCTAGTGTTTTTGGTCAGCGTCCAAGTCTCTGCCCCTTACTAAGAAATAGATTACACTGTGGACTATTAATGTTTTCTCTTTCTTAAAAATTAGATACTTCAGCCTCGTCACAGTTTGCAGGAGGGTCCAGGTATCTTCAAACTCTGTCACTGATTCACAATAATTCTTTTAAAAGTCTTCTGGCCTTTCACAGATCTTGTTTATTTGTTCCACTAGGTGTCCAGACACCTCATTAGGATGAGGTTCACAAAAGAGCCAGTTTAGTCATTGAGCAACTGACCACATAGCATGTTATACTAAGTTATATAGTAGCAGATAAACATCTGACCTTACACAGAATGATTTCCATAATTAACTCTTGTAACTTGCAATGAATATCTTTTAGCTTAACTACTAGCAACAAACACTGCAATTATGGCTTGTGCAGCTTATATAACATTAAACCAAGATCCTTTTCTTCAGTCATGCTGTTGAGTGCATTTAAATCTGTAAAAAATGTGTGACTCAAATTATGATAATCCAAATGCAATACCTCACAGTTACCATAATTACATGTCATTTAAGCCTATGAAGAGAGAGAGAGGGAAGGACTCAAGATCTGAGCTGGTTTCTGCTGGAGTTTAGAAGTAAACTGACTTAGGAATTTAAAATTGTTAGGTGTTTGGATAAATTGTTCATGGGAAGTTGTTGTAGTGGTGGAAAGATAGGATTGAAGATTTAATTCTGAATATTTGAATTCATTTTGAGTTATTGTAAGATAATCTATGAATATGAAGGGTTACATTAAGATAGGCTTGTTTCTTTGTCGGGTGACTTTGAAGGACCCAATGTACTTCTGTCAACTAGTCTTTTCTTAGGTTACTAACACTTAAATTGCCTATAGGCACACACACACACATTCATACATACATACATACACATATATAGTTACAATTTAAAAAAACAATGATATAAAACAAAATCAATTTTAAAAACTACCAAATGGACTTTTCATCAGAACAACTAAATTTAATTCAGTTCAAAATGTTAAGAAAATAATCAATTCAACTATTTTTGCACAAGTTTTGGAAAACAAAAACATAACTCCATAGTTAATTTTAATTTTTTACATTTATTTTAACTTTTCATAGTAGTTATATTTTCGATAGTTTATGTTAATTTTTTGTGGTAATTAAATTACTTTAAGAGTTTGACTGATATATGCACTGATCCAAATGTGAACAGTTTAAATTATCTTATCTCACCTCACCTCAAAATTTTACAAAATTTACTACAATTTCCCACTGGTATTATCATTCTTTTATATGTTGTTACTATAGCTTAACAATAAAACAGGGTTCAAAATATTACATTCCCAAATAATTTAACTTTGCTTGAGGAAATTTATCTTTTTAGTTAGCTTTCCTGATCAGTAATGCATGTTCCATCTGTATTCCTTTAGTTATTACCAATGAAAGTTAACATTTTCCTAAATTGAAAATGCATTTCCAATAATACTTACCACTGCTGACACTTATAGCTGTTACTCAACTGCCAGGGTGTCTTATTTGCCCATCTAAGCATTGGTAAATTTTTTCTCACTTGCTCCAGTCTTTTATACCCCACTTAATTGCCGTTGGCGATAGTTGTCTCGTGATACTCTTCACCTACATCAATGCGCACTCTATCTTGGTACTTTATATAAACACCTCGTTCAGATGATGTTATCACTTCCCAGTCTCTAACACCATCTCTTAGTGAGAAGGAAGTGTGGGAGAGTGTCAGCAGAGGTAATTATTACAGGAAATACATTTTCAATTTAGGAAAATTTTAACTTCGAAAACATATCTATCTTTGCTGACATTTATAGCTATAATCCCACATTAAAAAGGTGAAGGGACCAGTGAAGGCATTATTCATACAGAGAGCATCTGCATACATCATGGGAACAAATATCCAGGGACTCAGGTAGGAGGGCCCCAAACTTTGCCCTCTTCTCCAATAGTGGAATAATTCACTCTAACACTCTGGAGGAAAAGTCTTTGTCCACCACCCCAGTGACCAGAAACCAAGTGTGATAAGGACTCTCTAGCTCCACTAGTAGAATATGGGGGTATTACATGTTGGGGAGTCTTAAGAAATAGTGCTCTTGAATGAGTGCAATAGGCAAATCAAGTTCCCTAAATTTTTAAAAGCAAACTAACCCCAATATATTCAATCCAATGATTGGCAGGGATGGGCAGAATCCCTTTTATCTTTACTCATAATATTCTATAAGTGGTGGTCCAGCATAGTATGGTAATACCACCTGGTGAGCTCCTAGGTGGTCCTATGGAACACCACATTTCTACAGAGCCTGTTGCAAATGGTAGTAATTACAGTGAAATAAGGGTTGTCAGCATGGAATTGTTTCGATAAAAGCACACCTGTCTGGGCAACACTCGCCACAGAGTGGGATCCTGTGAAAACAAGGCAAGAGACCCTGAAAGGTAGAAATAAAAATACTTACCCCTTTGAATAGTATAGCAGAAACAGTTAAGATAGCTACAGGGGGTAGGCAAAACCCTCAGAGGAAGAGACTACCAGATCACACAAATAATGTGAGATAAAGGTATTGGGGAGGTCCACATACCAGTCGGCATAGTGACCTTGAGTGGGCAATTCAACCAGACTGCTAAGGATATAGAAAAGAGAAATCTGATTAGATGTGACTCACAGAAGATACCTCACCTTCAAAGAGAGCTTCAGATAAAGGTATAAATGTAAGCAACGAAATCTTCAAGACCCTCACTGAACATGACCAAGATCGAAATCTGATTGGACACAGAGAGAAAGAATGAGCAAATGAATCAAAAAAGGAGTGAACCCCTTTCCTGTCTGACAGAGTGTTGGGAAGAAGAACTGGTCTGAGGACATAGAGAAAACAAGAAAATGGACTGTGGACAAACAGCACAAATCACTCTGACCGATGATGTCCATTAATTAGCAGCCATGATAAACAAACCTGAAGGTAAAGGGGATACATGGTATATAAGAGTCAGGTCAGGTTTAGAGGAAGAACACATAACCTGAATCTATCTGTTTGGCAAAAACGTCTGTCAAAGAGCCAAGTAAAAAAAAAACGAGTTATGGTTGACACCACTGATTGAGAAGGATTCAACCTCCTCTAAATACAACATTGCTGATATGCATGTCATTACCTTTGAGAAAAGTGACTTTCGGACTAAACAGAAACTGAGCCAGATACATGTCAACCTTAGAAATTAAACCCCAATGCTGTTTGAAAGACAGTATAACCTCTATGCCAGAAGCTTGAGCTTCTGGATAGCCAGGTTCACCATACATGATCATGGCAGCCTCCACAGAGAGAGCCTAAAAAGGAGTGGAAAAGGTGGATGCACCGGAAAGAACCACAGAAACCCAGGTGTAGCTGCTAATCTAGTGTGGTCAACAGGATCAGACAATGGGTTGGAACAAATCATATTTCATACCCTGGGTAACATATGGAGAGAAGGTTGAGAATGGTAATCCTGTCCTGTCCAGATGGTATAATGATGAAATACTGGACACTAAATTGCCAGTAGTTGGGTGATCCAATGAAAGGTTCAACCCACTAATTAGTATTGAAAAATGAGAGGCAACCCATCTGAACCTTGCAATGCAACATCTGTTCTGTCAGGAAAATCTGTGTGGATTGAGACAATGGATGTTCTACCATTGCCATCACCCATGGAACATGGCAAGCTAGAAGGGTGATAAGGCTAGTCTAGATATAGGAGGTCAAAAATTCGAAAATAGGGAACCCTAGACCACATGCTTCCTTGATGCGAAACATAAGACACCACAATGGAATAGCAGAGTGAAACCTGACAATTTACCCCTTAAGAAGCCCAGACCATGAGACCTTGCCTGTTGAAGAGCAAGGAAGATGAAAACATTGTGTACAGAATCCTCGTGGTCTGTGCATATTCTGGAATTCCTGACTGTTGGTATAGGTACCCCATCCTTGAAGCAAGGAATTTGTGAATAGAATGGAACTATGGATGAGGTGGCAGAAACCAATTAGTAGTAGTGTCCCAACTTAACCACTCAAGATTTAAGAATGATTCCAACTAAGGAAACTGGGGAAACCAGGAAATAGATGTATATAATCCCTGGTCACTTGAAGACCAATAAAAGGATCAATTGTGTTCTCATCCCAAAGGCACGAGGGATCTGAGTGATGCCCATATTCCCAGAAGAGAAAGAACCATCCATGCAGTGGGAGAAGGAGAGATGAGGAAGAGCGTGGAATCCTATTCTATAATGTTGAACAAGATGGGAAAGAGCTGAGCTTGACTGAGAGATGAGAGGAAAAAGAAAAATTACACAGACTGATGACATATTGAATCGGAGCAAAAATAGATATTACAGTTTCGAACATAAAACTTGCGTGGGTTGTATTGGAAAGTAGAATCAGGATGTGATGTTCTAACAATTGGTGAGATATTGCCAGCAGTAACCAATAGTCAATGGAATGGTGTGTGCACAGTATGCTGGGATGAAGAAGATGAGAAA